TAATTTTCAATTTTTAAAATATTAACATTATTGCAGTATTAGAATTTATATGATACTTTAGATTTCCATTTTCTTTTGATAAGTAAGAGATCTAATAGATGTTTAAAGGAGTAATTTTAGAAAGAGGAAGGAAGTAGGAAGTATGGTTAGGCTTCTATTGTTTGTCCATGTGAGATATGATAAGGACCCGAAGTAGGGCAGCGATAACAGTAGAAATGATGAAGGAGCAGATTGTGTGTGCATATATGTGTGTAAATATGTATGTGGTTGGTTGGCAGGACCTTGTGGATGGGTAATTGGATGTGGCAAGTGAATGACAGAAAGGAAGAGTTTAGATTTATAGCATGGCTGAATGGATTGTGGAACTTCCAAATGAGTTGAGAATGTCAGGGGTAAAGAAAAGGGGAAGGTAATTTAGTTTGGGGTATGTCACATTTGAAGTATATTTAGGATGTCTAAGTGAGGAAGGTCATTTTACCACCTATATTTTACCATATAGGTGGTAAAATGACTATAGATGAGGTTTTTCAAGGAGTTCATCTTTTTAAAATATAATCTTTCTTTGCATCCTTACAACTTAGATTCATACATTCAACTTATTCTATGTAAGATGATTGTAGCAATCTTCTGACTGGCCTCCTTTCTCCTTTGGCCCCAGTTTGACTCCCCCTAGTCCTCTGCAAATGTTTTCTTATTGCATCTTTGATGACTCTTCCTTTTGACTATAGGGAAATTTGTGTCCCTGAGTATGTTGTAAAAGTCTTCCTATGATGTAACACTAGTTTTACTTCCCAACTTCATTCCTCTCAAACCTTTCATACATATCTGTGTTCCAGCTACACCAGACTTCTCATTGTCTTTTGCAGTTGCACATCTTCATGCCTTTAGCTCAAGTATAGCCTCTGTAGATTTCCCAAGTCCTGGGGATAGCTCCTGCTCACTCTATGCTTGCCCAATACTTGACCTATAATCTTTTGGGGGAGGGCCATATCAGTAATCTGATAGTTATTGTTTTGCATGTGGTATGTATTCCCCACCTAGACCAGAAGCCCTTTGAATACAGGATTCAAGTTTGTTC